TGCGGCCCCCCCCCCCCCCCCCCCCCGCCATTCACCATGACCGCCGCGACCAAAATTACGCTCTCCGAGTCCGAGCTGCCCACGCACTGGTATAACATAGTCCCCGACCTGCCGCACGCGCCCGCGCCTCCGTTGGACCCCGCCACGCACCAGCCGCTGCCTGCGTCCGCGCTGTCGTCGCTGTTCCCGCCGGCGCTAGTCGAGCAGGAGGTCACGCGCGAGCGCTACGTCCCGATCCCCGCCCAAGTGCGCGACATCTACAAGCTGTGGCGCCCGACCCCGCTGGTGCGCGCGCGTCGCCTCGAGCGCGCCCTCAACACCCCGGCCCGCATCTTCTACAAGTACGAGGGCGGCAGCCCGTCGGGGAGCCACAAGCCCAACTCGGCCGTGCCACAGGCCTTCTACAACGCCCGCGCCGGCACCACCCGCCTCTTCACGGAGACCGGCGCGGGCCAGTGGGGGAGCGCCCTCGCCTTCGCCTGCACCCAGTTCGACCTGCCGTGCGCCGTGTACCAGGTCCGCGCCAGCTACGACGCAAAGCCCTACCGCCGCACCCTCATGCGCCTCTGGGGCGCCGACGTGCGCCCCAGCCCGTCGCCGCACACCGCCGCCGGCCGCGGCGTCCTCGCTGCCGACCCGCGCACGCCAGGCTCGCTGGGCATCGCCATCGCAGAGGCCGTCGAGGACGCAGCCCGCGTTCCCGGTGCCAAGTACGCCCTCGGCTCCGTCCTCAACCACGTCCTGCTCCACCAGACCGTCATCGGCGAGGAGGCCCTGCTGCAGATGCGCAAGGCCGACGCGTCGCCAGACGTTCTGCTGGGCTGCACGGGCGGCGGCAGCAACTTTGCCGGCCTGAGCTTCCCGTTCCTGCGCGAAAAGTGGGCGGGCGGGCACGATGCCACCGTGCGCTGCGTCGAGCCCGCCGCATGCCCCAGCCTCACGCGCGGCGAGTACCGCTACGACTTTGGCGACGCCGTCGGGCAGACGCCGCTGCTCAAGATGCACACGCTCGGCCACTCGTTCGTGCCGGACGCCATCCACGCCGGCGGCCTGCGCTTCCACGGCATGGCGCCGCTGGTGAGCCAGCTGCTGCACGAGGGCGTGGTCGAGGCAGAGGCCATCGGGCAGACCGAGTGCTTCGAGGCTGGCCGCCTGTTTGCAAAGTGCGAGGGCGTGGTCGCCGCGCCCGAGCCCACGCACGCCATCGCGGCCACGCTGCGCGAGGCGGCGAGGGCAAAGGAGACCGGCGACGAGACCAACATCCTGCTCGCCGTGTGCGGGCATGGCCTGCTCGACCTTGCTGCGTACGACAAGCTCCTGGATGGAAGCCTCGTCGACTTCGAGTACCCGCGCGAAAAGGTCAGCAAGGCCATGGCCAGCGTGCCGAACGTGCGGCAAGAAGAACGCGACAAGGCAGCGAGCGGCACGGCACCTTGAATGAGAGATCGGAGGGGTAGTGGCTTCCACCGCCGCGAAGAAAAAAAAAGAACACCAACAACAAGGCTCCCGGTGAAAATGCCGCGCATTTCACACTTTTCCACCATCACCCGGCCGGTAAATCACCCATCCCGCCGTCACCCGCCTTCACCTCCACCTTCGCCTCCACATCTCTTTCTCTCTCTATCTCCACTGCTCTCCCCCTCCACATGGCCGTCGCGACGCGGAGGTCTTCGTCGCGGCCGCGGCGCCCCGGGCGGCCGCAGGTGCTGTACCTGGACCTGCTGCCGGCGGAGGTGCGGGACCTGATAGCGCAGCACGTGTGCGAGGGGCGGCGGACGTCCTCAGCGCTGAGCCTCGCGCAGACGACGCGCGCGCAGCAGGCGGCGGTGATGTCCGCGCTCTCGCACTCACTCACCGTGCACCGTTCCCCGACGGACGTGCCCGAGGTGCTGCCGTGGCTGCCAATGTTCCAGCACGCAGGTCTGCGCCAGCTCTCCATCACGGCCGCGTTCGAGCGGCTGCCGACGCGGCTGCGCACGGGCGTGCTGCGCCTACTCGCCGCGCCCACGCTGCGCTCGGCAAAAGTCCCCGACCACCCGCGCATCCTGCGCGCGCTGGCGCGCGGCGCCGCGCTGCAGGACCTGACCGTGTCGCTGCTAGAGGGCGGGGCGTGGCCGATGGACGCGTCGCGCCTGCTGCTACGCACGCTGGCCGCGCACCCGCTGCGCTCGCTCTACATGCACTGCTCAGCCCCCTGGGAGTCGGAGTGCCCGCTGCTCCACCTCGAGCGCCTCATCGGGACGCAGCACTCGCTCGCGCGCAGCTGCCCCGCGCTCGAGAAGTTCGACGCGGCGAGCTGCGTGCACGCGGGCGACCCGTATTGGGCGATCCTGCGGTCGCTGGCGAGCATCCGGCGGGTGACGATCCGGCGCAGCCCGCCGGCGGACTGCGTGGACTACCTCCGCGGGGTGTGCTCGGTGGAGATCTACGGGGTGCGGGGCGGAGCGACGCTGGCCGCGCAGCTAGGGGCGGCCGTGACGAGCGTGCAGGACGTGCAAGTGGCGAGCGCGGACGAGGTGGAGCTGCTGGGGGCGTGCACGCGGCTGCGCACGATGCAGGTGACGCTGCTGGCGGGGGGGCTGGAGACGGGGCTGGGGCGCGTGTGCGGGCAGCTGCGGCGGCTGCAGACGGTGCGGTTGCGGTGGGACCGTGGGCGCGAGACGTGGCGGAAGATGCGGTTTGTGAGCGTGCGCAACCCGCAGGCGGTGCGGCTATTCTACCTGCCGCGGTACGCGGCGGCGGCGGCATGCGGCGGGGTGGCGCGGCTGGCGGCGGCCGTGCCGGGGCTGCGCGAGCTGGAGCTGCGCGCGGTGCGGGTGGGCGTGGGCGAGGTGGAGCGCGTGCTGGAGGTGCTCGGGGCGCGGCTGACGCGGCTGGGCGTGCCGTTCCACGACCAGGGCGAGAGCACGGGCGAGCGTTTCAAGCGGCTGACGAGCGCGATCGTGAGGTGCAACCCGCGGCTGGTGGAGGTGTCCGCCGGCGGGGATACGTTGTCCAGTATGATGCACATCGACGAACTCGAGGAGGCGGAGTGTGACGAGGTGCAGGCGGCGGCGCTCCGCAGCGGCAGGGCGCTCGTCCGGCAGGTCAGGAAGACGGTCAGGGAGAGGCTTCCCCGCCTCAGCGGCGGCGTGGAGAGCTGGGTCGAGGCCGTGCTGTGGATCCCGGGGGAGGAGATGGAGTCCTAATTTTGAAGGCAGCAGGGGTCGGGATCGGATCGCGACGAGGGTTCGGAAGGAGGGAGGGAGGGAGGGAGGAACGAGGGAGGGGGGAATGAGGGGGAGGGGGGAATGAGGGGGAAGCGGGTAAGGAGGGAGGAGGGAAGATGAGGTCGTCCGAGTCGAAGCCACGAAGGGTGGCTTCGGGAGCAGCGGTTGAAGATTCGGGTGTTTGGTGTTTTGCTTCAAATTTTTGAGTTTCGCTGCTTATTTTCGTTTTTGTGTTCTCGTCGCGATAATTCAACAGTTGTTGCTGCTCTTTTTCTCGGTGCGAAAGAGCGTGCAGACGCGCATCTCTACAAGCTCCTCCGGCCGTCGATTCACCCACCAGGCCGTCGCCAGCAATGGGCATTGAGGGTACGCAGCGTCTACAAAGCCCGCCTACGCCCCCCGGCCCATCTACCGTACAACCTCGACTTTCCTCGCCGCGCTGTCCAGGCAACTTGTGGCAGCTGGCACTGTGTGATGCGGCCTGCTTCGTTCAGTACCCTTCCCCAAAGTACCCTTCCCCAAAGGCTTATTCACTGGCCAGCTGTTTAATTTTGGCCACCCATACAGTAGTTTACCGCCAAAATGGCAGACCGCAAATCCTCTTTTCTCCCTGTCTCATTGCTCATTTTGTTCACTCTGTGAGCCATCGGAAGAGTCTTCTACCTCGCAACACCCCGTCTAACTCACAGTGAGGCCATCATGCCCCTCTCAATGAGTCGACAGCATCAAAAAACTGACAAAACGATTTCAAAATCGGACTAAAGCTCTCACACTTTTGAAGAGCAGAGGAGGCAAGGGAAGAACAACCAAGAAGGCTTTGAGTAATCGCGACATTGCGACCTTGGCCAACGTACCTAGGACAGTTGTTAATGAACTTTGCATTTTTTTGCAAAACAACAACTATGGAGCAATTGATAAACTGATTTCTCCATATACTAAAGCTGGCAGGACTACTGTATTGTGACCAGAAGAGGAGCAGATTGTGGTACAGAGGCTAAATTTTGTTGCCTCTCGTGGAGCTGCAGTTGGGTACTGTTCGCCGCGATGTATGATGGCGAAAATTGCGGCAGATGGGAGGAAGGGATATGAAAATGGGATTCTCAGTGACGAGGCTCTTCGATCTTTCAGGTCAAGACATCGTGATCTCATGTTTCGCGCACAAGAGAACAAAGAGAGCCAAACAGGATGCTGAAAGCGTGGTACACGTCCAACCATTTCTTGACATTATCAACAATGTCGGTAAGAAAAACCCAGAGATGCTAAAGAATCCAAACCATATTTGGAACCTAGAAGAGACAGCTGTTGACGACACGTATGTAAAACGTGAGAAGGTCTTCACATCTTCAGACAGCAATCACGGGGGATTTGTAGCATGCACTACAAACAAAGCATCCCAAAATCACATCACATCCGTTATTTGTGTATCCGTCAGCGAGTTAAAACACCTCTTTTCTTCATAGTAGCAGGGAAGCGGATTCGGGAGTATGGGTACGGTACGCTGTACCTGGGTGAATTCCAGATGAAGAAGGTGTCATAAAAGTGACTGAAAATGGCCATGGAGATGAACATTTTCCAGGCATTTATCACGCACATCAGTAAACACTTTCAAAGAATTGTAACAAGTCAGTCCGTACTCTTGACATTTGACGGCCATGAATAACGCAATGGAACAGGATGGATTGAGGAATGCCGACGCAATAATATTGAAGCGGTAATCGCACCTGCCAATACCTCCCATTTCCTGCACCCGTGCGACCAAGCGGTCAATAAACGGTTTAATACTGCAATGCGGGAATTGAGAGATGTAGATGTGATGAAAAGTGACATTGATACGCACAAAGTTAATTTCAACTTGGCATTCGCAGTACATGCACATGAACAAATAACAGCAACGGAAATAACCAAGAGCTCTGCAGAAACAGGTCTGTATCCGTTTCAAAATGAAATTTTCGCAGCGCTTCCACGGCAACATAGATGGGTTGCGAAATTATGCTCGCTATAAATGGGTTGCCTTCTTGGAAGCCGGGGTTGCATCGCGTGTAGGGAGTGTCATGAAGCGTAGGAGTAATGCACAAACCTTCGTCAAACTACGGGAGCCTTTTTTAAATCGTGTGATCCCTCGGTTGCAATACAAACCATGTCTTGTATTCTTAAAAACGCGGAAACATTCATCAGCATTGTTTTGTTTGCGCGAAGCAGTCACAGCTCTCTTCCTGCTGCCAGTGCCAACCTGCCGATGGTCCTGCATGCGCCCCGTGCCCCTGCAGAGTGCGTAACGTTGCGGGAGACGTTACAAAAAAAGGGGCAGAAGAAAAGATGAAGAAAAGACAGGCGGTGGAGAAGGCCCAGCAAAAACGTCTTGAAAAAGAGTAAAAGAAAGCCCAAAACAGCGTGAGAAAGCAGCGAAGCGCCTCCGCCAACAGGAAAAAGGGGCGCATAACAAACACGCTAAGTTAGACTCCGAGAAAAGAGCCGCGAGTGACAAAGAAGTTATCGCACGGTTGGTTAGGGCTGTATCGGGAACAGTGCGACAAAGAATTGGTTTGGAAACTGCAGCACGGCGTAATGGAGGTTCGAGAGCCAAGAAAAGGTCTGTGCGTGTTACCCAATTCGCAGCAGGCCTCATTCTTGAACTATTGGTGAAGGCAACCGAGCGCAATGGGTGATGGAGATGACAAAAAGTGGCCATTATTGACCGGTTTTTGGTTGAAAATGGTGGTCAGCACCATGAGTTGGGAACGGGAGTTTGGTACCCAAGTAGTTGATCATTTGGAATAAATGTTGATATCGTTCGGATCAGCTCTGGGCGAGGAGTCTATCTGTCCATCAGATATGTGTTCGAAAATCGATCTTTCTTGTCTTAATGTATTTTTATTTTCTCTTCGGTGGCCAGAATATAGCCTCTGGGGAAGGGTACAGTTCGTCACTTTCATTTCGAGGGGATTTGAACTGGATGTTTGTCGACGATACACTGGTTCTTGTGACTCGTATTAGTCGCAGAGTGTTGCTTCGTATCCGTCCCCGTGGCCGACGACGGTAGATCTAATGTTAATAATTGGATTAGGGCGCCACGTCGAAAGCAATTAGTGCTTGCCAGTGGGTTGACGCCCCATATAGAGACGGCGGTAGATGTAATGTGAAAGGGAAGAGGCACAGGGAATTCAACAAGTAAAACTAGCCGGAAGTGGTTCTGGTTGCTACGGCTTTGGCACGACACAGACGCGATTCTAATCCCCCCAATTCTCCATCTCGCCCGCCCGTCGCGCAGTCCACGCCACTCACCGGATTGTACCGGCGAGCGAGACCGCGCGCGCTCGAAAGCACCTCTGACGACAATCCAGATTTCAGTGAATATCTCCTGAGCGCTTTCGGTCCAGTACTTTCAGAAGCATCCTGACTCCTTCGCATTTTACGTTGCTGCACCATGCCTTAACCGTTCGGCAGCTGGCTAGTACCTGAAGACCAACATGCCTCCCTCCGGAGTTACTCGCTCTCAATCGAGCTCCCGTCATGCCAAGCTTCTCCGAAAGATCGGCATCATGCCCGTCAAGAATGCTATATCGCAACAACTTGTCGGTGCAGCTCGATCGATTCTGGAAATGTTTCCCGGCTAGGGAACGAGGGAGCAGCTTCCAATACGATGCCTCCAGCTGAAGATGTACTCGCCCTGATGCAGGACCCGCTTCCCCGGCTACTGAGGTGTTCACAGCAGACTTCTTTGAGCAACTGTTGTTCGCCCCTGCTACACTCTATGACACGGCATCCTACTCCGGCTGCCACGATATCAATGAGGAGTTCGAGGAGTCACTCAACCTCTCCGACAGAGACAAGAGAAACATCAGCATCCATACAATGCTTTGGCTAGCACACACGCTTGGTTGTGACAAAGAAGCCACAAATTACGTTGTTGACAGGCACAAGCCATCTAGACACCTTGTGCGTATTCAATCGGCAGTTTCAAATAACTCTGCTGGTGACGGAGCTCGAATTCTGGAAACCAATTTGGTGTCTGCAGATCAAAGCCCTCGCTCTGCAGCAAATCCGCCGCAAGGAAACCAGCCCCCGTTTCTTTCCAACGGATCAATCCACGAGGAACGACCTCAAACCGAAGTAGTTCAAGATACTCACGCCGCGACGCCTCTTGCACTTCATTCCCAGGCTCCTATCTTTGGCTCACAAGAATCACACGGTGACGACGTACGGAAGTCGAGTTACGTCCATCAATACTTTAAGAGTAGGAGGTTCACTGGTGACATCGATGAGTCAATCGAGATGTTTATACGGGATGACAGAATTTGTTCTCGCCAACACAAGCTGAGCAATCAGCAGAGAACGGAATATTTTGTCAATATACTTGAGCCTCAAGTATATTGACAAAATATTCCGTTCTCTGAGGGACCTGCTCGCACATTCTTCTTCCTCAATGCAAACGACAGCATGTCTTTTGAAGATATGATGTCGATGATGATCAAAGAATACAACAGGGATGCCCGCAAACACCAGATCAAGGGGACGCTCGATACTCCACGCCTTGGCAAATTTATGGCTGAACATGAAATATCGTCCCTGTCAACTGGTCTGAAAAGGTTGGTCAATCACCTCGAGGATCTTTCCCCACAATCCCCTCCTCATGCTCGAACAGAGGGAAATAAAATCGAGTGTCTACGCAAGGCCGTACTTGGATACAAGTGGTCAGATGCTGCAGTTCGTAGTGTCGTGTCCTGTAACTACACTTTCAATGGCTTTGTGACCGCGCTTCGCGAAGATATACAAGTAGAAAATGACATAAGCCTCCTCACTACTGGGATAAGGATGGCAGAAATGGACACGCTCCACCAGCGGAATGGTCGCAACCCTCGTCACGTGCAAAAGCATGAACACTCTTAAAATGAACGTCAAGGCCGTTCCGACAGACCCCACAGTCGCTCATTCGAGGAAAGCCGTAAGCGAAATGAGTGCCACAAATGTGGTGCTCAATGGAGCCCTAGGTACCGATGTGCGCCTGGGGCAATCCGCAACCATGTTGTTCATTGTTTCAAGAACAGCTAATCTTCAGTCCATATCATCTCGGACCTTGTTTTAGGTATGGAGGGGGTCATTACTCAAGTTCTTGAGGCTATACCTAGTGCTCCCGAAGAGAAGAATGATGATAACTCGGAAAATGAAGTTTGCTTTGGGGAACTGAAAGTTTTCGACTCTCTCGTTGACGGAGGAAACGTCAGCACCGACCAAGATGTCATCGAGCAAGCCGATCAAGAATGGTTTACACATCATCTCTCAGCCATTGTTGGGATAAATGATGGTAAGCCTCCGGTGCATGGAGAAGATTTTTGGAGAGGCGGCGAGGTATACTGCCTCGCCTTCGTAGCCCTTCCAGATGGGCAGGTGCTCATCGAACAGCCTGCCCGAAGCGCAAATCCCTCGTTGGCAAGATCCATTGCACGAATGTCTCAATCACGCATCTGGACAGTGAAACGAGGTTGCGCCGTCCTCTCGGCTTTTGCGTCGATATCGGAGCCCCAAAGTTTGTGATTGAGAGGAAGGAACTTGCGTAAATTTCCAAAGAGCTGAGAATGCACTTCACGATCCGAAAGAAAGATCATAACCGATTTCGTTTTGCAGAAAAGGTAATCTGACTCATTGGGTCAAGTTACCTTGCAGTTCGACACTCTACCTGAAGTGAAACCAGTTGTGGTCACTTTGGACGTTGTAAATGCTGATATTCCAGCACTCCTGGGAATGAATGTCGTCGACCGCGAATCACTTACTCCCGACGCGGTGGCTAACCGTCTCTCTAAACGCGTTACCGTAAATGGGTCCGGTAGAGAACAAGTGTATATCGATAAATGGTATATCCCCATGTCACGCTCGGCCAGTAACCACATCTACGTGCTAATAAGGTCAACCTCGACCTCTTCTTTGCATGGTCTCAACTCGTCAGGCTGCATCGAAACTTCTTTCAACCCTCCGCCGAGAATTTGTTCAACCTACTAAAGCGAGCAAGAACCGAAGAAGCGACATCAGGGACCCTTCCCACTCTTCAGGACATTTCGAAGAGATGTGACCCTTACAAACGCATCCACACTGCCCCCACTCGTTTTCGAGTGGCATTTGGAGCAGGGCATGTGAGGTTCAATGAACGCATTCTATTGGACGTAATGTACATTGGAGGTAAGCCTGTCCTCCACATTGTCGATGAGGGGACGAAGTTCATCGCTGCACGATTCCTCCTCGACGTTTCCACTAAGACAGTATGGCGGACACTATTGGAAATTTGGGTGACGATCTACACTAGATTACCAAATCGCACGGTGGTGGACCAAGGCTCTGCTTTTGGTGGCCTGCCAGGCCAGTGCCGCTAGGTACACGAACAGTGTTCGTTTACCTAGCGGCACTAGGCAACGTAGAGGTAGAAAGGACTGGTGTGAAAGCACATTCGAGCTTGGGTCTAGGAGAGAGGTACCATCAACCGCTGAGGCACACTTACCGAAAGATTATGTCTCACCGCCCCAGCACCGAGCCGACCCTGGCACTTGGCTGCTCTGTAAAGGCAATAATGACACTCTTGGTTCAGAGGGCCTTCTGCCATCCGCCCTTGTGCTCGGTGAGTATCCGAGAGTAAGCACGCGTTCCCAAACCCCAGAGAAACGAAACACACTTGCAGATCGTTCTCTTGTTGCGCAAACCGATCGCATGGAAATGGGAAAATTCACGGCAAAGGTCCTTATAAACCATGCGTTAAGATATGCCGTCGCGAGCGCGGCGGATCAGCGATACAACCACGGAGACAAGGTCCTAGTTTGGAGGGAGAAACTCATCAGCAACAGAATTGGAGAATGGGTAGGCCCTTTCGATGTGGTTGAGTCGGACGAAGAGAAGAAGCTGGTGTTCGTGCGCGACGTCAAGATTGGTACTGCATGTCCCTTTAACGTCGCCCAGGTGAAGCCCAACCTTGCGCCAGAAGTTCTTGCA